CAGATAATTATATCTCCTCAGAATAACAATTAAGTTAAAACTGTCATGAACTAAAAAAATAACGATAAAAACATCCGAAGGAAGAGGCGCACGATACGTTTGGGTAATCGACAATTTATTTATAGCAACGATAAATGCGCAACAGGTTTCCACACATTTTTGCGGAAGTTGCGCGTTACATAACATCAAGTGTCATACTTCCTAGTAATATAAAAAAAAATAAATAAAGAATAAAAGGAAAAGAGCGAGAAAGAGAGAAACAAACAAACGTCGTCCATCGAAAGGAAAAGTTTTCTAATCAAACCAGCAGCCAGTCGCACGTGATATGATAAAGATTACAAAATCAGAACATTCTTGATCCGAGAGAGAACTCGAAGGATCAGGTTGAGAGATTGAAGAATAAAAAGGATTCCGTCCGATGCGAGTGCTCGCTCTTTAAACGTTAGTTCGCGATTCCACGAAAGGTTTCTTTTCCGATGTATATATACACATATATATGTGTTTTTTTTTTCGGCCGGGTAATCGGCCGGGCGCGTCCGGGCGCATATTCGGAGCATATTCAGAGCGCGAGAGAGCAGGTGGAAGCGGTTCTGGAGTAGGAACTGGTTTGGTGGGAGCCGCGAGGTGGTCCGCTGGTACCTCTCGGTGTACGCCGGCATGCCGCTCTCGGTATACGCTGGCACGTTGTCGCACGAGTATATTCATGCCAGTGGCGGGAGTCCCCGAGGGAAGCCGGTGGGGCCTCCTCGCTCACTTCGCCGACAAGTGATCGTTTACAGTTATAGTCAGTCCGCATTGGGCACTCGGCCGGCCCTGACTGTATCGGTACACGTAGTTCGTTGATAAAATATCGCTCCCAATTTTTTTCGGATATCGCGCCTCGCCGGAGCCTCCTCCTCCTCCTCCTCTTCCCCTTTCTCAAAACGAGAAATTTGCAATCGTGCTTGAATAACTGTGATTTGGATCTCTCCTCTCTTTCTCCCCCACTCCCCCCCCCTCGCTCTTTCTTTCTCTCTCTCTCTTATAATTTAATTTTTTTTTTTCTAAATTCCCTTATCGCGTGATTACCGATAGCTGTCGTTGACGTCTGCTGTTTACGAGCTGAAATTGACAGCACCGGTCGCGACAGGCGAAGCGTTATTGATAATCGTCGAAGGCAGCGGGCTCGCGGGCTAAGTAACGAACGATGATTTAGTGGCAAGATCAAGTGAGTGTCGTGTGAAAGGAAAAGTGTGCGGGACGTTCGGCGGCGAAAAGCGCGCTAGTGCCAGACGCCAGTTTCAGTGAGCGTGCCACTCGCCGCACTTACACGGGGCACTGATGGAGAATAATCGAGCGGCGAGGTAAATAACAATACTTTTACGTTCGCAACACCCGGGCGAGAGACGACGGTGCGAGCGAGGAACGAACACGTCCGCACTTTTGCGCCATCCCGGAATGCGGCCGCTCGCGTTCCGGAACCGCAACGTTCTTTCGACGACGTCAACGCCGAGGGGGCCCCGTTTACGGACTGTAAAGAGCTTTCTAACGCGCGCGTGCAGTCTCGATGTAAATAGGAAAGAGAACCGATACCCGAGGAACACGCAAAGATCGATTAAAAAAATCCATTCGACTTTATTCTTAACAGTCCTGGTCAATGAACAGTCCAGTTTTGTAACAAAAAAAAAAGTCGTCGTTTTGACTCCTCATGATGTCAAAATAAAGGTATTTTTCTTTCGATTTGACATATTTCTTGGATACAGAAACATTCGAAGTGTAGTTTCCATAACTTTTCCCGTGACACGCGTTCTCTGTTCCTTTGAAATTAAATGCGAAATTTAATTAATAAGATCAAGAATGTAAATTCGATTATTAAAAAAAATAATTCATTTAATAGACATCTTTTTGGGCCCGAAAGAAAACTGAAACGTCAGGATAGCTGCTCGGATAGCTTACGTAGCGAGGCGGCGTGGCGGATACGATGTACGCCACCGTAAATCATAACGTGGCACTCGAAGGTTATCGTACGGTGTTAATTATTATCGAAGAGATCATTCGATCGTATACGTAAGACGAGCGTCTTCAACAATGAATATATGTTTGATGATACACCGCGCGTCCGTCAAAATTGTCCAGAAAATTAAAACAAGAGATCGAACATTTCCTGCCGCCGTTACATCGCCCTTGACATTTTATCCGATAAGCGGATACTTTTCTCTTCACGCGTCAAGAGCACCGAGTATATCTGTGCTGATAATAAAAGCAAATTAATGCTCGATAATACAAATAAATGGCAATCAAAATGGCGTGCTGTTTTCGAACGGTCTCTTCAACAGAAATGTTTTGATAAGAGTACTAGAACTTTTAATAGTTTCTCCATGTATATATGCAAAATATTAAAACTCTTATCGCAGTGTTTATATAATTCTGATATATATAC